AGACAAACAATTAAAGACTCTTAATCACGGGAAGCAAACAGGGTTGCTGGAGGGGAGGGAGGTAGGGGGATGGGGTAACTGGTGATAGACATTAAGAGGGCATGTGATATAATGAGCACTGGGTATTACATAAGACTGATGAATCACTGACCTCTACCTCTGAAACCAATAATATATTATATGTTAATTAATTGAATTTAAATTAAAAAAAAGAAATTGGCTTACATGTTTGATTGTGGGGGCTGGTAAGTCTGAAATCGGTAGGGCAGGCCTGCAGACTAGAAAGTCAGGTAAGAGTTGATATTCCAGTGTTGAGTCCAAATACCTCAGGGCACTGGGCTGGAAACTCGGGCAGAGTTTCTATGTTGGAGTCTTAGAGAGAATTGCTTCCTTAGGGAAAGCTCAGTCTTTGCTCATAAAGCCTTCAACTGATTAGATGAAGTCTAACAAAGATTCTGTCTTTGACCAAACTTTAATGAGGCTCCTCTAAGCTCTCTCTCAACCAGGCCCTGACTTTTGAGCTTCTGTGTCGGTTTCCTCATTGTTCAATTTTATCAAGAACCCACTAACTCAGCTTAGTCAGAATCCCTCACCTTTACTGTCCACTATCTTGTTTCTCATCCTCCATCACGCCACAAGTGATGACTGAACAAGATGGCTTGCCTTCAGCAAGAATCCTATCAGGTCAATTTAGCCAAAATCCCCCCTTAACCCCGATGTTTCCTCCTAATAATTTTCCACCCACTGACATGCGCTCTACCCTAGCCTGCTCCTGAGCTGTAAATTGTCACTTTTCCTTGTATTTGAAATTGAGGCCAATCTCTGTTCCCTACCACAAAACCCCATTGAAGTAGTCCTCCTGAATAAAGTCTGCTAGGACACTTCTTTAACAAGTGTCAGGAATAATTTTTCATTAACAGGTTCATCCACATTATGGAGGATCTTTACTTTACGTAAAGTCTACTGAAATGCATGTTAATCACATCTAAAAAATACCTGCACAACAACATCTAGAGGGATATTTGACCAATTTGACCACATTGACAGATATGATCATCCATCACAGCTCATATAGTATATTATTTTATTTTGCATGTTAACTTTGTGTTCTACAATTTTTTGTATTAATAAAATTTATCCATAGTTTTTTTTTCCTAAATGTCTAATCATGTCTTCAGTAAACAATAATTTTATTCTTCCTTTCCAAGCCTTATATCTTTTATTTCTTATCCATGGTTATTTCTCCTGGGTAAGATCTCCATTAACATGTCAAATTAAAGTGATGACAAAAGGCATTCTTTGTGCATTCTCAATCTCCATGGAAATCTTGACATTTATTCTGGTCAAGTATGGTATTTGCTGGTGATTTTTTTTTTTTGGTAGATTCCATTTATCATATTAAGAAGATATTTTTATTCATAATTTGAGATTTTTTTTAAAGTCATGACTCTGAGTTTAATTTATTAAATGTTTTTCTGCATCTGTTGAGATGGTCAGTAGTTTTTGTATTTTATTCAGTTAAGAATTACAGTAGTTCATTTCCAAATTTAAACAATTCTTGCATTCCTCTATTAAATCCCATTTAGTTGCATTGTAACTCTTTCTCTCTCCCTCTCTCTCCCACTCCCCGCACATATACACACAACACACATATACAACACTTGGATTTGACTTTAAGATTTTTGCGCCTAAGATTTTGAGTGAGTTTGACTTGTAATTTTCACTTCCTGCAATGTCCTTCTCAGGTTTTGATATTATGATTATGCTGGCCTCATAATGTAAGGTATATATATTGCTCCCTTCCTCTTTTTAAATGCATTTTTGGAAGAGTTGTATAAAATTGGTAATATTTCTTCCTTCAGTGATAGAATTTATTATCTGGAAGAATTTTATAATGAATTTACTAAAAATAAGCCAGTTAAATCTTTATTTGATTCAATTTTGATAATTTATGTTTTTCTAGGAATTTGTCTCTTTTATATAAATTTTGACATTGTTATAAATTGCTTATAGTACCTTCTTGTTATGTTTTTAATGTGACTAGAATCTGTAATAATACCTTTTTTTATACCTCATGTTATTTGTTCCTTTTGTTGTTGACTATTCTTTCTGGTAACATATCAATGATATAAGTCTCTTAAAATAATAAGAGTTTAATAAACGAAATAAATTTTGGTTTCTGAATAATTTGTCCATTTTATATTATTGAATTTATTGGAAAAACATTCTTATTAACTTTTAATTGTAGGATGTGTAATGTCCTTATCCTTTCTTTTTCTGGGGGAGGGGCAGAGGGAGAGGGGAGGGAGACAAACAGACTCCTAGCTGAGGGAGGAGGCTGATGCAGGGCTTGATCTCCTGGGATCATGACCTGAGCTAAAATCAAGAATCCAACTCCCAAGAGACTGAGCCACCGAGGGGCCCCTGTGCTCCTCCTTTCTGATATAGGTATATGTGTGTGTGTGTGTGTGTGTGTGTGTGTGTATTACATATATGTGTGTGTGTATCATCATTTATGCTACAGGCTTATCAATTTCTTTTTTTTTCCCTGAAAGAACCAACATTTGCCTTTGCTGATCTGTTAAGTATGCTTCCTTTCTATTTCATTAATTCTTATCTTATCCTTTTTCTTATGTTTAATTTACTTTTCTAACTTCTAACTTCTTGAGAACTTAGATGGCTCATTAATTTTCAGCTTTTTTTTGGTAATGTTAATTTAAAGATATAAACTTTATGTTGCATTTTCATTATCATTCAGTTCAAATTATTTGGTAATTTCCATTGTGATTCCTTCTTTGAATCATAGGTTATTTGCAAGTTAAATTAGTTTCCATTATATGGAAAATTTTAAATTATCATCATTATTGTTGCTATTCATTCATAATCTCATTACATTTCTTTGAAATATGTTGATAATTCCTTTATGGCTTAATACCTGATCATTTTTTTTTTTTGCCTGATCAATTTATGTAAGTGCTCCATATGTATACTTTAATTGTTAGATGCACTATTTCATGTGGATCATTTAGGTCAATTTTGTTAATAATTTTTTAAAAAATGGTATCCTTCTTAGTAATTTTTATCTTCTGATCCAATCAATTACTATAAGTTATTATATGAATCTAGATTTGTCTTTCTCATTTCAGTTCTGACAATTGTTAAAGTACAAGTTGATATTTTGTTAGAGCATTACATCCATCATTTTAATCACTATTGCATTCAGTTATACTCTCTTTACATTCCCAAGATTTGGCGATCCATCAAATAGATTTACAGCTCATTCAGTTAAGCATGCAGGGAATAACAGGTTAAGGACTAGCAAATTCCGTCAGAACAGCTAAACTCTTTTGCATTTTCAGACATTATTAATAATGGAATGTTTTTGGAATTCTTAAGGTCAATTCTAAAGAACTCATCTGAATATCACTTTGTTAACAGTGACAGTATGTACATTCCATAGGACTTACAAAAGTTTTAAGAAAATAAACTCTTGGGTTTATATTGTATTTTCTCTTAATAACCGAATCTTGCCAGAAATGTCTCAACTTTTCAAGTATTCTAATATTCAGATTTTTGCTCTATTGTTTCTCTTTCTTACATTTCAGTAAAGTTTTCTTTTTCCATTTCTTTGGATATATTCATTTTCTACTTTGTTTTAACCTTTCTTCTCTTTTAATATAAGAATTCATAATTATACATTTCCATCTATGTTCTAAGTACTAATATAATGATAGCTTTCATATCTAAATTGTTTTCTTAATCTGCTTGGTTATTTTTAATAATTTATTTCCTTTCCTTTCCTTCTTTTATTTTTAAAAATATTTTAAATATACAAATTTCTGTTTTTGAAAAATCCAGTATCTGAAGCCTATAGGCATTGTTTTTAAAGTTCTTTTACTCTCGTTTTTGATTTACTCTCATTTTAGACGGCTGGTTTTTGTGGGAATGAGTCACCCAGGTGATAGGAATCCTTGTCTGGAATTCATGTGAGTACTTTTGCTAGGAATTTTCATTAAGAGTTTTAACCATTTTCAAATCAAAGAAAATTTGAGTCAGTCAAGTTTCCGTCTTTTCGTGGGAGAAACTTTCCACCCCCACAAGTTCTTTCACTGAGAGAGGTGGCCCTTCTAGGTTCCCAGCTATACCTTGCGTGGGGGGGGGGAGGGTGATGGGTGGAGTGGAGGAAGGAGTGGGGGTCACCAGTCTGGTTACCCCATTCTATTTGGCCTCAGTCTCTTATTTTCCTTGTTTCTGTAAAATCCCCTGATCTAGGACCTTGCTACTAAAAATGTGGTCCTCAGACCAGCAATACCAACATCCCTTGGGACTCCGTCAGAAATGCTTAGGTACCGGCTTCACAAGTTGTTCTTGTGGATTTTTCTTTTTGTTTTGGCTGCCTTCCCTGTCCTAACAGCTGTATACTTACATGTACATTTTCCAATGTTTTCTGTGTACATTAAGAAGTTAAAAAATAATTTTAGGAGCAACGGCGTTAGCCATTTAACGCAGAAAAAAACCGAAAGGACATCAACATCTGTTCTTTAGATGCAGTGTGTTTGCTAAGACTGGCTTCTGTCCGTTGCTGCGTGGTTGATCACAAACTATTAAATATATCGGCGAGGATGAAATCCGTTCGTGCTATCGTGCCTCTCCCAGTTTATACTCAACTCCTCATCAGTCTCCCCACCCCACCCCCCCGCCATTCCCCAGCGAAGCTTCCTGCAAAGCTCCCTCTGGTTCAATCACAGTAGGCCACCAAACCACCGCGAAAACCCGGAGTAACGGATTTGGGGCGTAGCTAGGTTCCTCTAGGGAGCAAGAAGAATTTACAGAGCATGCGCAAAGACGGGCGCGCGCACATGCGCAGTGGTCGGCGCAGGGCCGCGCGCCGGTCTCTCCGGGAGGCTTGGAGGCTGCGCGCGGTTGACGTGTTCCGTGGCTGTGGAGGCGGTGAGGCTCTGGGAGGGGAAGGAGCAGAGAGAGGGAGGGTGAGGTGGGGGGCTGAACCCGGAAGTGGGTAGGCGCTGGAGAGAGCGCGCCGACAGTGGAGCTCAGCGGCTGGGAGCCAGCGGGGGAGCCCTGGGTTCCCGGTAATGGATCTGTGGGGCGTTTGCCCAGGGAAACTGGGGTGGGAAGGGTAACGGGTTCGCGTCGGCGAGCGCTGTCTGCGCCTGGGCAGGGCCTGGGAAGGCTCTTCTGCTTCCTTTAGTCGTACCTGTGGTTGACCCTACTCCTGCTCTGCGCCCCTCCTGGGGCCATCTCCTGCGGGGTGATTTTGGCCGGGGGACACTCTCTGTCCATGAGGAGGGGTGCCTTGCCCGCCCTGGAAAAAGGCATGTTAATGGAGAGACATGGATTTCGCGGCCGCGACGGCCTTATTGTCATCAGCCCAGCGCCCCTAAACCATGAATGTAGCGCGCCTTAACCTGCACCCTCAGTGATCTTGGAGGGATCCCTCCCTTTTCAGCCCTCCTTTTTCCCACCCTGTTCGTGAATCAGGCCTGAAAGGTGTGCTGCGGCTTCCTTTAAAATTATTCTTTTGTTGGCTGTCTTTTATAACCCGGCCCTCCTTGTTCTCCACGCTAAAGTCTTAGCCATGAGTAGGTGTGACTTTATCATAATTTAGTTCTGATTTAGAAAGGATTAGTAGACGAATGCCGTGAATAATTAATTTAGCATTGTTTTGCCGTGGAGTTTTTTTACGTGGTTCTTACTCTTTTGCAGACCATGAAACCCTCGGGCACGCCCCTCCAGAAGCTGTTAACCAAGACAATCTAGTTTTTTGTTTTTTAAAATAAATCCTTTAAGACACTTATGAAGTTTCTTGTTCTGAAATTGTTGTACTGCAATGAAGAAAAGGAGAAAGGTTACTTCAAATCTTGACGAGAAGATCCATCTAGGCTATCATAAAGATTCTTCAGAAGGCAATGTTGCAGTGGAGTGTGACAAAGTAACCTATACTCATTCCACAGAAAGACCAATTCCTGAAGCTCTTCACTGTTACCAGGAACTTCCTCCCTCTCCAGATCAGAGAAAACTTTTGAGTTCTTTGCAGTATAACAAGAATTTGCTGAAGTATTTAAATGATGATAGGCAGAAGCAACCATCTTTCTGTGACTTACTTATCATAGTAGAAGGAAAAGAATTTAGTGCACATAAAGTTGTTGTTGCTGTTGGCAGTAGTTATTTTCATGCGTGTTTGAGCAAAAATCCAAGCACTGATGTTGTCACCCTGGATCACGTAACACACTCAGTTTTTCAGCATTTGCTTGAATTTCTTTACACATCAGAATTTTTTGTGTACAAATATGAAATACCTCTTGTTTTAGAGGCAGCAAAATTTCTGGACATTATAGATGCAGTTAAGTTGCTAAATAATGAAAATGTTGCCACTTTTCAGTCTGAGCTGGCTGAAAAGTCATCACCAGAAGAAACACTAAGTGAATTAGCTGGAAGACTATCAAATAATCATCAGTGTAAATTCTGTAGTAGACATTTTTGTTATAAAAAGTCTTTAGAGAACCATTTGGCTAAAACCCATAGGTCCCTTTTATTAGGGAAAAAACATGGGTTAAAAATGCTGGAGAGAAGTTTTTCCGCAAGAAGATCGAAAAGGAATCGGAAGTGTCCTGTTAAGTTTGATGACACCAGTGATGATGAACAAGAAAGTGGTGATGGGTCAGACAATTTGAATCAAGAAAATTTTGATAAGGAAAAGTCAGACAGAAATGATTCTGAGGACCCTGGAAGTGAATATAATGCTGAAGAAGATGAACTAGAGGAGGAAATGTCAGATGAATACTCTGACATTGAAGAACAAAGTGAAAAAGATCATAATGATGCAGAAGAGGAACCTGAGGCTGGTGATTCTGTAGGAAATATTCATGAGGGGTTAACTCCTGTAGTCATTCAGAACAGTAACAAAAAAATATTGCAATGTCCTAAATGTGATAAAACATTTGACCGCATAGGTAAGAAAAGAAAGATTGTTTTCTGTCTCTAATAACTTAATTTTTCCTGGTATTTTAAAGGTGATAATGAAAAACCAAACTTTGAAGGTAACTTTTGAAAGGAATACTTAACTAGGGTGGGTATTTGATAGTCAATACATATTTTATCCTGTTGTTTTAAATTTGTTTGATTCAGGAATTTAACTGTTTTTATTAGCTTTTATTTTCCCTACCTCATGTCCCATTAAAAGGTGATAGATCATTAGTTCAAATATTTGGTATGAAAAAACTCCCGACTTAATAATTGTGAATGTAGTGCTTTGATTTATATGTTGATTTAATTTCATATATAAGTGCCATTTTTGAGTCATAGAAAATTATATTATTCAGTTTAATAATTTGTATACTATTTCCCCTTGAACATGGCTATACCTGAGTTAGAAATACAGTCACTTCTCTAGTATCTAGTACTGTTTAGAATTGGAATGTTTCAGTTTAGGCTTGTAGTTAAGAATAAAACCGAACTGGATATAATTTATTCTGTAGATAGAATCTTTAGGAAACGTCTTGATTAGTAGTAGTCTTTGGTTATTATAATAACTAATAAATCAACTTTTCCTTTATTAGAAAATATATGCCAGGAAATGTGGTCTATAAGCTTAAGTTAAAATTATGTCAGTGAACATATAATTTCAGGAGGTCTAATATTTGCTAGTAAAATAATTTTTGGAGGTGTTTTACATGAACTGTTCTAATGGGAACTTTTAAATTGCAGCAATTAAACTATTTCTATATAAATCAAAGTTAGGAAATTGTGAAATATGTTCCGCCACATATAATGTTAAAAGGAACATTTAAGTGCAGTTTGACCTTGTAATATTATTTATGCAGTTTAATATATCCCCATGTATTTTGCAGTGTTGAGTTACTTACGTTATTGGTTTAGGTGGAATGATTTTATAAGGTATTGGTAATCATTTGTTCTCAAAATATGGGACAGTACACACTATAGCATAAGTGGTAACCTCTTTTTGCTTTTTATTATGCCTTTGAATCCAAATCAGAATATTTTGACAGTCCAATTTAATAATTCCTTATCACTGTTTTTACTGTGTTTGAGACTCTGTAAAAACATGAGTAAAATAACTTTTCATGAGTAACTCAATTGGAAGAGCATAGCATAGGAATACAAGGAACTTGCTACACTCAGGCTGGACAAATGCTCTCTCTCTCATAGAGCTATAAACAAGTACTGTGAGAAGAGAATATTTTTGGATTCAGATACCTGAGAGCACATTATCTTTTCAGTAGATTCTGCTTTTTCAACTTTATATTTTAGGCATATACATGCCTCTCTATTCTGCCTTAATTTGACCTAATTTGACTTGAGATGAATGAGCAGGGGTCAGGTCACAAATGGCATTGTAGGCCCCCAACACTTAGATTTCTGAACTGTCCTATTGAACACTAGGGCTGTGAGATACTTTAAGAGAGAAGAGTTCTTTATTCAAGTAGGATTGGAAAACCTATATACTGTAATTCATAGTCTGTAATAACTCTGTCAAACTCTCTAGTAAAGAAAGTTGGTAATTTCATTTAGTATTTCCTCAAATAATTTTATCATAAGACATTTTTGTGGTACTTCTCTTAATGTCCAAAAAACCCACTACCTTTCTTTGCACACAATTTAGGAAAACACTGCTCAAGATTAAGTTCCTGATATACTAAGAGGAAGGTGTTTTGCAGCTTTTTTAACCGAGGGCAGCCCAAATAATTGTGAGAATCAATAGGTCACATTGTAGACTTACCTGCAGCCTTCCTGAATGCATTGGACTTTGTACCTCTCTTTTATCTACCCTTCTCTTTGGCTTAAGTCTCCCACGGGGCTGCTTGCGTTTCCCCAGGACTGAGCGAGAGGAAGATTGAGATTATATCATATTGGTTAAAAAAGCATGAGCTATAGTGATGTCAGACCACCTGCATTTCTGAATCCAGGTCTTGGGCAGGTACTTAACCTGTCTGTATTTTTGTTTCCTCATAGGTAGAGTGGGATGATGCTAATGTATGCTAATAGTACCTTCTCATGGAGGTTATTATGAGAATTAAATGGGATAGTCTTGTGAATCACTCAAAATACTGTGTGAAATTTAGGTGTGCAAGGAATACTAGCTGCTCATATTGTTAATATAGTTATTGAGTATCTCTAATACCAATAAACAGGTAATGAAGTTATATCTTCTGTGTTCTCAAGAATTTTAAAGTTTTATGAGTACATGCAAAAACACAGTCGTATTGCAGTGTACAAAGGACTAAAGGAATCAGTAAAGATTTCATAGAGCAGATAGCATTAGAGCTGAGAACTAAAGAATAGGGAAGAATTTACATGGCAAAAGGACCAACATGTGCAAAGACATCTAGGTATGTTGAGTTCTGGAAATTGCTGAGGGGTGGGTGATTTCCAGATGGGCAAGGAGGTAGAATGAAAATGATAGATGAAGATAGGCAAGTAGGCAGAGGTCAAATTTTGCCTGGTTTTTATGCTGTATAGAAAGTTTAGATTTTATCCAGTAAGTGATAGAAATTTGAAAAAACTTTGACAAAGGAAATGACAGCCTATTGAAGTTTTAGGAAGGTCATGCTGGCTTCAGCACAGAGAATGAAATTGGCAAGGACCAGAAGGATATTGTAGGCTTGGACTAGTTAGATGAGTAGCGTTGAGAATGGGCTGTAGGATGAGGGTAGATCAGAGAGTTGCACTGAATATAGATAGGCTAAGTGGACTGGTTGATGGATAGAATGTAAATGTGTGGAAGGAGAAGACCTCTGTTTCTTAAATGTCCTCCTTTCTCATCTCCCATCAGAAGTCCTTTTTATTCTTAAAAAAAAAAAAACAGTTTAAAGACCATTTTCCAATAAGCCTTATAGCATCCATAATTCCTATCATATGATGTAAAAATGTCTACCTAGATTTTTGGTTATTTATTTCTCATTAGAGTTTAAGCCTGAAAATTTTGTGTCTTGATTACTGTCCCTTGTTGATACCCTAGGTCATTTCAAAAAGCAAGTGCTCAGTAAGCTCCTATTTGAGTGAACTAAATTGAAAGGTTGGTGTCTGACTTAACTTTGAACTTGTAAGAAGCCAGTTGGGCTTCTTTATAAGCTTCTAACTTTGGTGTCTTGGAGTGGGTTATGAGAATTAATGAATAAGCTGTGAGACCTGCTGGAACCATTAGCTCCATGATATGTAGTCGACTAATTTGATTCCATTACTTTGGATCTTTTACCCTTTCTGATGTATTTAATAGTTGCTTGGAGTGGGACTCCTGATCCGTTTACATTTTTCCTTAGGCTACCAGCTGTCTTCCCCTTAGTGTATTCTCATGCAAAGAGAGTCCTTTGACCTTTGCCCCTTAAGGTTAAAGTGGGTGAAAAAACCTAGTGGGTGAAAAGGCAAAAATAGGGAAAAGATGACAGATGGGGTGAGAGAGAAAATTTGGATAATTTATCTTTTTTATTGTTCTACTGGGAACTAAAATCTTTCCTTGGATTAAATTTATAATCTCTTCTAGAGGTAAAAAATGCTTTACAGCTTTTTTAAGAAATGTGACTCTCTAGACCAACCTGACAGAGATTCCACTTTGTTCTTAATAGATTAGAGTTATAACAATGACACAATTCTTTAAGGTTAAGTATTTTAGTTAAGTATTTTTTAGAGTATGCCATATGCATAAATTCAAGGAATAATAGAAGATTTAGCAATATCAAATAAATAATGAGCTAATTTGGCAATGTTTCTCTTTGTGAAAACTCACAAAATCTGGTAATTTTGCATAATCCATATGGGGGAATAATAAATTTTTAAGCACAAGGTCCAAGTTTTTTCATGTGAAAATTTCTTTAGTTTGGGACACAGTTCATATTGGGATTCATTTCAGAAAAATTCTGTGGATAAAATTTGTTCATATTATGCATTTTCTTTTGGTAATCAAGAATGGTTGGACATAGTATATTATTCTCTGAAGGAATACGATTTTTTATTGAAAAGTTATTTGAAATAAACATTTTGATTTATTGTTGAATCTCTCCTCACCCCATAAGAAAAGAAGAAACATGTAGATATTGACTGTTATTTATGCTGAGTACCTCCCACACTGCTATCCATTTTTTTTAAACATGGAATTTCTTTAGAGATTCAAATTTTTCCCCACTGGGGGAAAAATGCCCTGGAGATCTACCTGACTCTTATTATGGGTTCAGTGTTCCCACAGAAGTTGTGTCTCTTTTATGGTTCAGAAAATCAAATCCATAGAGATAACTGGCCTTGCAATGCCTGTGTGCATAAAATTGAATTAATAACTTAAAAAAGTTTTTTCACCTTAGAGATTCTTAATGTCATAATGAATCGTTCAAATTTATGTATTTTCACTGGTCTCTGGACTCTGCTTAATTTATTTAAATTAATTTTTTTAAAATTTTGGCTCTTCTGGCTAAAATTTTTTTTCTTGGTTAAATCTTAAGTCTTCCTGTCTGTAGGAGAATGGAAGTTTAATAGTTAAAAGTGCTTTTGATTTTTAACTTGTCATTTTGATGGTTTTACTATTCAACTACATGTAACTTAATTTGTATTTGCAAGCAAGAAAAAATTTCTTTAATTAAAAGGAAAATGCTATTAATGATTAACATCTTTTCAGCAAAGGCATTTGCATAAGAAATACAAAATTTGGTGAAAAAATTTTCTTACACTTGAAGACTTTATTAAGTTGCTGTTTTTGTTCACTTGGGTATAAAAATGAGATTTAAGCATTAGATGGTTGGTTTTCTTTTAACTAAATGTACACAGTTAATGCCCAGTTAAGAGTGGGCCTATTCTAAAAAAAAATACTTAAAAGTTAATCATTTAAAAATCACACTATATACTCTTGATTTGTTTACACTTTTTTTTTTTACCGCAAGTGTGTGTCACTTACATAATTTGAAAAGCAAGTTTAATAAAAATGAAATGTGGAAATTTTCACAATCAAGGAAAACTTTTTATTCCATGCAATGACCTCAATCTTTTCGAAATTAAAATTGTGGGATTTTAGTACATATTAATAATGTTTGGATTCTGTACTTTATATCTAACTGATGTGTAATAAAGGTTAAGGAATCTAATACATGCCTGCCATATTATAATAACAGAAAAAGAATAAGATCAACTCAAAGCATTTTCCCAAAGATACTATAACAGTAATGGTCTGGTTATATCCTGCAAAAAGTAATGTAAATCAGTGTTTTGGATAGTTCAGGGTCAGAGATGCAAATTTTATTATATATACGTATTTACACATGTGCTCATATATAAATTGAAGCAAAAAATTGCACAAAACTAACGTGAATTTATTCTGGTATTTTCTACTCTATTCTTTTCTTCCCCCTGCCCTTAGGTCACAACCTAAGGGATTTATTTCATGAACACTAATGACCTTTAGTTTGTAAAACACTGATTTAAACCATAACATAGCTCAGCTCTTGTTCTATAGAACCTACTTATTTGTGATGTTTCAGATTTCACTTGGGGACACACAAGAACACCTTTCCCTCAATAAATTCCTGTGTTAAATCTCATCCCTTGAACGCAGCAGAGGAAGGGGTGATGGTAGGGTATGTGTATGCATGTGTAAATGGAGAGTATGCCCCAGCAGTGGTGGAGAGAGGACAGAAATACTGGGCCATTTTAACAATGGCAGGGGGAAAAAGTGAAGTTCTTAGAGTGTTCTCAGCTGAAACCCCACTTTGATCTATTGTAATGTGTATTCATAAATCAGCTATATCCATATTTATATTTGAAGTATACCTACATATCTGCACTGTGACTAGTAACCATGTAATAATAGTAGTAAATGACTAATATTTATTAGTGCTTACTATATGCTAGAATGTCTTAAGCGTTGTGTACGTATTAACTCGTGTACTTCTCACAACCCCGTGCAGTATTAATAAACTCAGGTTAAATTATTAGCTTAATTAAGATCACAAAGCTAATTTAACAGGTAACCAAACATTGAGTTTTTTGACTACATGTATGTAAATAATGCATCGACATCATCTATGTGGTCTATACATAAATGCCTAATAGATTTTCATCATACTTCTGTTTTTCTTTGCCTGTAATTGTCAGCCTTCCCCCTCCCTTGAGGAAAATACTTTGGTTCCCTTTCCTGGGTATTCTTTATGTAAGTGCAGTGGAATTAATTTTTAGGTAATATACTATGTGTTTATTAAATTTAATCATACATAGACTATGTAATAGATTAGTGAACTCATTTATTTTACTAAGTAGAAAAATAATTATGATTATATTTCTTTAGTGGTCTGGAATTTTTTTTTTCTAATTTCCATGACATATATAGAATTTTTTCTGAGTATATGACTGAAATGCTGCTACACTTTTACATTAGCTTTGGCCTGAAGAAAAATTTATACACTTACTTTGCAGAGCAAAGCTAAGCTTTTAATTGAAAACTGCTGTTCTTACCAATATATTTTTTCTTATTTTTATTGCTTTTTGCTCAAAAGTATCCTTCGTTGAAATTTCTACTACTCTAGATGTGCACATTCACAGCTTTGATTCCAGAGTAATAATAGCAAACATTAATTGATAGTTTATAAAGTGTCAGACACTGTTAGAAGTGCTTTAATGTGTGCTGATTCATTTATTCCTATGACAATCCTATGTAGTAAATATTTTCATTTCATACTTTCACTTGAGAAAGATTTTAGGCATAGAAAGGTTATTTTTTTAGGCATAGAAAGGTTATTTGTCCAAGGTCCCCTAGCCTGTTATTTTAAGAGCCAGCATTTATATCTGGGTGCATGGACCCAGGGTCTGTGCCCTTATCTGTGATGCTGTTCTGTCTCTGGACTTTAGAAATTTCTATTCTAAATAATGATGTGAAAAAATTTTAGTCTAAATAGGAAAAAAATTAAAATTAAGCCAAAATATATCTTCTTATTTCATTTTTTATCGTAACTTTTTCCCCTGGAAAGTCCATGTTAAAATTTCTTGATTTTTTTTTTTTTGTTTGTTTGTTTGTTTGTGTTTTCACTGTTGGAGAAACCTGTAACATTTGTACAGAATTTAGATATGTATTCAGATTATAATACAAATCTCATATTAGTATGACTCTGAATGTCTATGCATTATACCAGTTCATCTTTTCCTTTTCCTGCTTTCTTTGATACTTCCCGTATATGTTGACTTTAGCAGTTTAGCGTTAAGCATGCATCAGGGACAGGTGATTTACTTGTTTTCTAATGTCTTATAAGTTGGAGAGATCTTACATGAATATGCTGTGGTGAAATATAGGTTTTGTTGAGTAATCTAGATATGTGGTACCATTTCCAGATTACTTTCTGTGGGAAGATAGATAAAACTGTTATGTATTATAAGAAACGTAAGTATATTATTTTGCCTTTTTAAGGTATTTTTAAAAGGACTGTCAAATCTGAAAATTTCTTTCCATTTATGCATATACATAGTAAAAGTGAAGTATAAAAACAGCCAGTCTTCTCTTGAGTAGAACTTTTGATGGTCAATTTTAAATTAAAAAATATATATATTTTATTTTATTCAAAGATTTTATTTATTTATTTGATATAGATAGTGAGAGAGGGAACACAAGCAGGGGGGAGCCAGAGACTGAGAAGCAGGCTGGAGAGGGAGAAGCAGGCTCCCCGCCGAGCAGGGAGCCCAACTGGGATCATGTCCTGAGCTGAAGGCAGACACTTAATGACTGAGCCACCCAGGCACCCCCAAAATATATATATTTTATTTATTTTTCTTTTTTATTGTTATGTTAATCACCATGCATTACATCATTAGTTTTTGATGTAGTGTTCCATGATGCATTGTTTGCATATAACACCCAGTGCTCCGTGCAGAACATGCCCTCTTTAATACCCATCACCAGGCCAACCCATCCTCCCACCCTCCACCCCTCTAGAACCCTCAGTAAGTTCGGAGAATTTACCAACAGAATTTTGAGCAAATTTACCCAAAGTTTTGATTTTTTTTTTTAAAGATTTTATTTATTTATTTGACAGAGAGTGAGCACAAGCAGGGTGAGTGGCAGGCAGAGGCAGAGGGAGAAGCAGGCTCCCTGCTGAGCAGGGGGAGCCAGATGTGGGACTTGATCCCAGGACCCCGGGATCATGACCTGAGCCAAAGTCAGTTGCTTAACCAACTGAGCCATGCAGGCGCCCAAAGTCTTGATTTTTAAAATGTGTAAACATGAATAATTTTCTTTTTTATGACCCAAGTTTTCAAGGAAAGCAGTGAGACCAAAGTAGTAAGTCTTGAGGTTTATCTGAGACACATATTTAGGTAAACTTTTTTCTACTTTTGTGTGTGGGTGTGTGTATTAAATATGTTATTAATCATGGAATTTTATTCAACTGTCGAATTTCAGTCACTGTGTACTAAATGTACTGAATTTAATTTTAATTTATCTCTTTTTATAGGGAAATATGAGAGCCACACACGTGTTCACACAGGTGAGAAGCCCTTTGAGTGTGATATTTGTCACCAGCGCTATTCGACAAAGTCTAACCTAACTGTTCACAGAAAGAAGCACAGTAATGAAACAGAATTTCATAAGAAGGAGCACAAGTGCCCTTACTGTAATAAACTTCATGCAAGCAAGAAGACTTTAGCCAAGCATGTTAAGAGGCAAGTATTATCTTGCTTCCATAATATACTTTATTGTGCCTTCTAATTTAAATATGGAGTAAGCTAAAAACATCCATGGAGTGCTTGTCTCCAATTCTTTCTTTGCTTAATATTTTCCAGACAATTTTTATTGCAAATATATTTGATTACAGATTTATTAAGAACAGTAAATGTTTGTTTTTTATTAATGCTATTGAGATGAAGTTTTTTGATGTTGAAACAAGAACTATGGAAGTTTAAGACAGCATTTTGGTTATCCTGTTTTTTATTTTGGGTTTTGACAAGTATATTTTCAAAATATATGGTTTTAGAACTCTAGGAAACTTATTCCTCATGCTCAACTTTGTCTTTAGTGTATAAAAATTTGTGAAAGAAAGCATGCTTAGTGCAGTATTGCATATTTAATTTTAAGAAAGGAAATTTACTGAAATTTGGATCAAAAAAAATCAAGTGAATTACCTTGACGATTATCTGTGAATAGCTAGGTTCCTGAATGTATTTAAAATATTAGACTTTTCTTTGACTTCTTCTGCATAAATTTAGACATATACATTTTTAAATGTTAGCAATACTTATATTCTTAAGGTATTTACATGTGCCTGTCTCTTTATGAAAGGAATCAGTGCCTGATTCTTATAATCACTGTTGACAGATCATATGGAATATGGACTTAACTAATATAATCTTTTGCTAATAGTCTTTTTTTTTCTTGTAGATTTCACCCTGAAAATGCACAAGAATTTATTTCCATTAAGAAGACCAAGAGTGAAAGTTGGAAATGTGACGTAAGAGCTTTTAATTTGTAGTAGAAAACCAAAATAAATAAATGTTACCTTTGGGGAAAGTAATTAGATTTTAGAGTAATATAAACCTAGCTTATCTCACTTTTAGAATCCTTATTTTATACAAAGTTATCCTAATATTTGTAAATTAAGCCCCATAGAGGTTAGTTTCTAGATGGTGGACCTGGTGGAAATCTTAGTTTTTATTTTTAATGTAACTACCATACCATATGCTTATATTTGTGTATATAAACTGACATTACTGTATAAGTAGGAATTAAAATGTTAGAATTTTCCCCCCACTTCTGGTTATCTGTCTCAAAACTTAGTGGTTTTTAATAACCGTTTTATTATATCCCACCATTTTGTGGGTCAGCAGTTACATTTGGAGCACAGCTTTGCTAGGTAATTCTGTTCCACATGGTGTCAACTGAAGTCACTCAGTTGTTTTCAGCTGATAGAAGTGGTCTGGTTTGGTTTGGAGCCACTTCCAAGTGTCTCAGTCACACGACTGCAACTTGGTGTTGGCTGACAAGGGGCTCAGCAAGGACAGTTGGCTAGGAATTTTGATTCTTCTCCACAAGTAGTCTCTTCATGAGGCTACTTAATCTTCTTTCTATCATGGTAGCTAAGCTCAAAAAAGCCCAGATAAAAACTATCAGGCTTTTTTTTAATAAAGATTTATTTATTTTTAGAGCTAGAACACATGTGAGTAGGGGGGCAGGAACAGAGGGGAAGGGAGAGAAATCTCAAGCAGACTCCCCACCAAGCACAGAGCCCGGCATGGGGCTCAATCCCATGACCCACGATCACAACCTGAGCTGAAATCAAGAGTCAGATGCTTAACCAACTGAGCCACCCAAGCACCCCAAAACTATCAGACTTTTTATGGCCTAGCTTCAGAAATCAGACAGCATCACTTTCAACACATTCTGTTGTTCAAACAAGTCACTACAGCCAGGTCAGATTTAAGGAGATGGGGATTAGTTTCTATTTTTCCAGTAGTAGCAAAGAATTTTTAGATATCCTGCCACACCCCCTAATACTTTTTTCATTATATAGGTAAATATTATTTGAAGGAGTCACAAGCTATCATTTGTCTTCCTTATTTTCAGGCTTCAGTTTATGTATACAACAAAATTATTACCATTTCTCTGATTTCAGCTTCTAGGGATTGAAGTTAATTATTAGCTATTTGAATCTACATAAGCTGCTTTCTTCTCCTTGCTAAGCTTCATCATCCTCAGCTGTAAAATGATTATAATAATTATATCTACCTCATAGGATTATTGTGAAAATTAAGTAAAATAAACCATGAATTATTTAGCATTGTGCCTGGTATATAGTACATGCTATAATTATTGTTGTTTTATTGTTGTTGTCATCATTATGATAGCAGCCCCTTCTCCCCCAACTTTTTTAATAAAAAAAAAATTAAGACTTTATTTTTTAGAGCAGTTTAAGTTTTATAGCATAATTTTTGAGGAAAGATAGTGATTTCCCATATACCCCTGCCTCCACAAATGCATAGTCACCCCCCATTATCAGCATCCCCTCAAAGTGGTATATCTGTTACAATGATGAACCTACATTGATCTCCCACTTTTTAAATCTCATGTCTGCCAGATTTCTTTAAAAAGTTGTATCTCGGGGCACCTGGGTGGCTCAGTCGTTAGGCGTCTGCCTTCAGCTCAGGTCATGATCCCAGGGTCCTGGGATTGAGCCCCACGTCAGGCTCCCTACTCTGCTGGAAACCTGCTTCTCCCTCTTGTGCTCCCCCTGCTTGTGTTCCCTCTCTCGCTGTGTCTCTCTCTGTCAAATAAATAAAATCTTAAAAATAAATAAATAAAAAAAAAGTTGTATCTCTTCCTTTTGACCACTTTAAGAGATAAATTCTAAAATTATTTTTCTGTGGTTTCTTATTCCTATTCCTAATTAAATATGTGGCAATAATAATAAAACATTTTATTCATGACATATAAGTGATTTAAAATACAAATTTAATGGATTTTAGAAATGTTGACTAGAATTAAGATACTAAGATTACTGTGTAATCCTAGAAATTAGCCTATTCGAATGGGGGAGTTGAAATTCAGCTACTTTTAGTACAAATTTAAAATAATTCCATACTATAATTCCTCCAAGGCATTTTTTTCTGCACAATGAGAATTTGATTATACTTTTGGTAACTTTTCTGTTGGGAGAAATTTCTCTTTACTTGAATTTGTATGTTTATTTCACATCATGAGCTTGGTATTTTAATTTTTAATTCAGGGTCCCTTACATTTTGTGTACATTTTCTGTTAGATTTGTAAGAAATCTTTTACTCGAAGACCACACTTGGAGGAACATATGATTCTACATTCTCAAGATAAGCCTTTTAAGTGTACCTATTGCGAAGAACATTTCAAATCACGATTTGCACGGTTAAAGCATCAAGAAAAGTTCCATCTGGGTAAGCAAATTACTTTTTCTAAGAGCAGTCATAGCAGTTATTTTTTTAAGTAATTTTTTTTCAAGATTTTGTTAATTTATTTTAGTGGGGGAGGGGCAGAGGGCGAAGGAGAGAATCTCAAGCAGACTCTGCACTGAGTGCAGAGCCTGACATGGGGCTCAATCTCACAGCCCTGAGATCACGACCTGAGCCAAAATCAGGAGTCGGACGCTCAACCGAATGAGCTACCCAGGCACCCCAGTCATAGCAATTATTGATTATCACATCATGCTAGAGGAGCCTGCTGCTGTTGAACCACTTAGGAGAAGGAAGTCAGATAAATTGGGAGGAACACTGGATTTGCTGCTATTCCTGCAGATGAGTAAATATGTTTATTTTCTGTTTTGGTGGCAGATGTGTCTGTGGTCATAAACTGCATTTATTTACAGTTGATTGTTGGATAGGTCTGTGAGTGCTTGAATACGGCATTTTTGTTTTGGAAAAACTCATTTTTCAGGGAATGAAATGAACCTAGTATATGTGGAATTCAGTATGGTATTTGACGAATCCTCTATCTAATGCTTATGGTTACGATGGAAACTTGTGTGCTAGATGGTAGTACAATTAGGTACATTTATGACAGTTAATACTGATAGGGAGTTACCGTCATCCAAAGTAGAGGCTATTTGCTCTGCAGCATTGGTGATATAGTGGTGAGCATGGCTGCCTTCCAAGCAGAAGGCAGCCTTTTCCCTGTCCTAATCAATGTTTTTATTGACAGATGAAAGTAGATACTTAATGCTTATAAAATTTGTAGATGACATAAAGCTGGCATGGGTAGTTGATATGGTAGGAATTAAAAATGTAAAAAAAAAAATCTTTGTGCTATGGAAAAGGTTAAAACAAATTAAGCTAAAATTAAGAGTAAATACAAAGTCATAAACATGGGAATTATCTGACTTTTAGTCGTTGGGGATTGCAGAACTGTAAAATGGTATAGAATCCAAACTCCTCTGTTTACAGATGGGCTTAAAAGCAGAAGCTTTTTAGGCAGAATCTGAACCAGTAATATCATATGACTGACAAAAACCACTATAGTTTTAAACTATGTTAATAAAAATCTGTTGTTCAAAATCAGGGAGGTAATTATCTCACTGATTTTAAATTCATCTGTAATATTGCATTCATTTCTGGGTACCACATTCAAGATGGGTATTGACAACTACATTCTCAAGAGGTGGGTAATTACGGTGACCTAGCGTCTTAAAATTACATGGAAGAACCTTGAAATATTTTGTCTGGGAAAAATAGAACAATTGTGCAATAAGGGATCTTTGCAATTCTAGTATATAAGACATGTATGCTGGAAGATTATTTTCTTAGCTTAGTACTTTTGGAATTGCCTTTAGTAAGTTCTATCAGAGTATTTCATCAGCATTTCTAAGAAGTCATCATATGAGGCAGTTTTTATACTTAATAGAACTATAGTTGGAGACATGTTCATGATTGCATGAGGCATGTAAGAAATTTCTTTATACATTAGTTCCAGGAAAAATAATTTCTCCTGGGAAATTGGTGGGCTTCTTCCTTTTTGAGATGAAAACCATAGGTAATCTTTTTTTGTCCCATGTTATAGAAACATCATAGCAAAATATAATTTTTATGGTTAACATAGTTGCTTCTGCTTCCTTTTTCTGTTCCTGATTTTCTCTTTCAACATTTGTTAAATACATCATTTAGTAAATACATAGGCATTCTAAGAATATTAAGTGGATATCCTAAGGTATAGGTTTAGTGTCAATTTAGAAATTTTTTAAAGTATTGGAACTTATAAATTGAAGTAACTTATCCTGCACAATAGTTATTTTCCTATCAGTAAAATTATACAAGCAGATCCTTGAACTGATAACAGAATTGTTGAAGAAAGCATTTCTCAAAAGGTGGTTGAATTAGAACTATGTGTGCATGTGTTTTATATATGTATAATATATGTGTGTGTATATATATATATTATGTAGTATATACATTTTATGTATACACACATCACACCTCTATGCTTCTGTTTACTTGAATCACTGTATGCTAGGTGAGTGGTTCAAGTCTGAGGTATGGCCCAAGAATTTGCATTTCTGACACATTCCCAGGTTGATGCTGATGATGCTGGTCCACATACCACACACCTGTGCATTACTGCTTTTAGGTTATTCAAAGACATACTTACACTACCTGCATTAGGATTATATATTCTGTAAATCAGAGGGAGATATTTCTAAGAAATACAGTCTGTGAACAGTTAGGGTAGAAGAATAATATATTTCTGTGTATAAGTATAAAAATCATAGTTGGCTTTAAAGTCAAATCTTCTAATTTTATCCTATTTAGAGAGTTGGCATGAAAACTGCTTTAGTAACTTCCCAGCATAGTTTCATAAATACAAGTTCAAGGAAGTTTAGCTGCATGCAATACTGGGTATCTAATATAGGGGAAAGAACGTAGGTATTTCCTTTGAAAAACTGGTAGGTAACTGAACATGAAGGAGAATGCTCCTTTCTTTCTTCACTCAGCTGGAGCCTTCAAAAATAGGTATAGTTATTTCACTCTTTGCCTAATACACACTTGCCATAATATACTCATCTTGGCACTTTTCGCTTTTATTTGCTTCATCTATTTATCTTTAACTGTGCAAATGCTGAATCTCCTTTTTTCCACCTTCTTGGAGTTTTTTTTGGGGGGGGAGGAGAGGGATGTAAGGAGGTGAGGGATTTTCCATAGCACTACTTTACTTAACCCAGTGCTAGATATGAATTAAGAATCAATAAATACTTGTTGAATTAGTTAATGAAAAAAAGGCTCAGATCTCATGAAAGATGAAATATTAGAGATTTTAAATGAGAGTATGTTAAAGATACTTAATATATTTTGAGGTCATCTCAAAAACATGTTGAAACTCCCCCAAAACTACTGTGGCTACCGAACAATTCTGCTTATAGATTTGCTTCTGAATTTCAGTGTCCAAATGCCATTTTCTTTCCATTGTTCTATTATGATTAATTTCTCATTAGAGTTCACAGTAGAGTCTACAGTATTTTCAACCTAGGCATCATCATTAAAAATTTGTGGTCTTGGGGAACAACAGTTCATTTCCAGTTTATGAAGTCTCTGAAGTCCTTTGTTTATTCTTCCAAAGTTTCTCAGTACCTTCTTTTCCCAGAAATCTGGTATATAACATTTTTTACTTTGTTCCAGTCTGATTTCAAACTAGGAACTGGCCATTTCAGTTTATTAACCCATTAGATTATACAGCATTTACTATATTAGATGCCACACCATAAACTCAGCTCTAAGCATATAAGGATGAGTGTAACTTGCCTTCTAGGAATAAACAATCTAGAAGAGAAAACTATAAATGAATAACTGCATTGTGTTATAATACATGCACTTACAGTGGTAGATACACATTCGTAACATACCAATCCTATTAAATTTAACTTAGTATCTATTCTTTAAACTTTAAATATATATTCTTTCCTTTTTAGGTCCTTTTCCATGTGATATATGCGGTCGCCAGTTTAATGACACTGGAAATTTGAAACGCCATATAGAATGTACCCATGGTGGAAAGAGAAAATGGACTTGCTTCATCTGTGGAAAGTCAGTACGAGAAAGGTGAGGAATTTACTACACACCCAGAAAAATCCTGGTAACTGTTATATAGAAATAATTAATGAATATAGTTTATAAGGATTAAGGTAATACAAGATATAAGATACTTAAAATTATACTTTAATTTGAAATTTAAGGACAGAAGAAGAAATTTTGTAAAATGCTATAGAAGATGATATAAAGTCAGGATTTGCCGGTTTAGATGGTAAATTTCACATAGATACCACTTTGTCTCTTTCTGAAACCCCACTAAAACTATATTAAAGGTTATTGATTGATTTAAAAGACAGTAAGCTACAAAGACAGGAAGAACAGAAATGTGACAAGAGCAACACAGATTCGGGAGGTAGAAAGCAGGTGGATGAGTGGGAACTGACTTAGCAGATTTAAGAAAGACAAATCCCAGGGTGGCAATGGAGAAATCGAGAACATAGTTTACATCATAGAATCCACAAAAGGTGTAGGAGTGGGCAGTATCAGATACCTCTGGAACTAGGGTGAAGGAGAGGTAGAACAGGGAGTACTTGTTCTCAAGTTTTTTACTCAAGCATTTACTCAAATGCTTGAGTAAAAACTTCTTTAGAAGTTAGATTATTTGGATTTTCTCCTGCCATCCCCACAGGTCATTGCTGCTGAGCACCTACCCCTATCCCTACTTGGCAGATATCTGGACTGGAGTATACCATGTTGTTATATGATGAATGCATTCTGAATGCTGAAAGCAGTGAGCCACAGGCCTTATCCCTGCTGATGTCTTGGATTTTAGATTTTATCCCCCAGGCAGTAGATTAGAGAACAGTTCCCTGAAAATCTGAGCAACCAGAGGGCAAATATATTCCATAACAAATAGTACACTTGGGTCACCTACTGTGTAGCCTAGTCATCAAGACCCATTTATGCATGCTCTTTGATTGTACCATCTACTTTTTAGTCTATCACATGTAATCGACAGATCAAAGAAACACAGAAGGAAATCATTTAACATGGAAGCTAGATTCTAACACAATCAGGAAAAAAAAACAATCTTGAAGGAAACATTATTCAGAAAGAAGAAAACTTTCAAAAAAAGAAATAAACAGCTGGTTGCTTCATGAGAAATACTCATATTATGAATATCCCCAGTTGAAGATCTAGAATCCATTAGACAAGAACAGGGTGCTATAACAAATCAGAGCACCCAGAAATTCAAGGCATGATAGACAAAGTATAATCCCTAATAGAAGGATTGAAGAACAAGTTGAGGGAATCTCCCAAAAGGTAGAGCAAAATAAGGTAATAGTGTAAAATAAGGATTAGAACATTAGAGAACCAGTCAAGAGGTCCAGAAAGAAAGAGCGAACAACGAAAATAGCAAGGGAAAAAATCGTCACTGAATAATTCAAGATAATATCCCAGAACTGAAGGACATGAGTTGCCAGACTAAAATTACCCATCAAATGCTTAGGACATTAGATGAAAATAAACCTACTCCAAGATACATCACTGTGATATTCCAGAACACTGGGGACAAAGAGAGGCTTCTGTATGCTTCTAATTGTTCAGGGAAAAAAGTTACATATGTTGAATTATGAATTAGAATTACTTGGAGGTCTCTCTGAAGAGCAACACTAGAAATAAGATGATACAGTTGTACTTTGAAGATTCGTAAAGAAAATTATTTCCAGCCTAGAATTCTGTTCTTAGTCAAACTGACAATCAAGTCTGAGGATCATTAAGACATTTTTCATGATATCAAAAAGTTGGCCTTTGATGTACTCTTTCTCATGAAGCAACTAAAGGGTATGCTTTACCAGAATGAGAAAGTAAACTGATGAAGAGGAAGACAAGGGCTACAGGAAATAGAAATTCTAATACTGGAAAGAGGCAAAAGGAATTCATAGGAGGATAATGCATGAAGTTTCCAGGATTGTGAGATGTGCAACATATGTCTAACAATGGGTAGTCAGTCCACACTAGTAGTAGTAATGCCCCATGACAGATTGAGGGTTGTTACTGCTATGATCCCTGCTGGCATGTTTCCTCTTTTAACTAGGGGACAGAATGTGAGAGTAGGTCTGACCCCAAAATTTATTTTTTATTTTCTGTGGTAAGAACATTTAACATGAGATCTACCCTCTTAACAAATGTTTAAGTGCACAATACAGTATTGTTACTAAGTTACAATACAGTATTTTTATTAATACAGTATTATTATTGTGTTAAGGCACAATGTTGTACAGCAGACCTCTAGAATTTATCCATCTTGCGTAACTGAAACTTCATACCCATTGAATAGCAGCTCCCTGTTTCTCTCTCCCTGATTCAAATTCTTATCTATACTCTGCCACTGTATAGTACCTGTATGCTAGTATACTAGCATACACCATTGTACTATTATATTTATGCCTTGCTACTTGATTTAACTGAGGACACTTGTTTCATTTCACAGAAATACTCTTTTTTGACCTGTGAGAATTAGAGATAGTTCATAGTAAGTTTAGAAGCAAAATATATACATCAGCCTTTTTACTTTGGCTGTATTTCTGCCAGACTTCTAGTACCTGATCCACTCTAGATTGTCAGATGCTCTGATTGTGAGATGAGCTCTCTTTTCCAGTATTTATTTATGACTTTACCCGTTGACATGTTGGAAAGGACTCTTGCCAATGCTCAGGCAAGCTACAGCCAGACTTTGATAAAGAGACCATGTTCATACTATCTTGTGGGCTCTTTAGCTAATAGTGACAATATTGTTAGATTTGTGCTTGCTACTCGGTTTTTCAAAAATATACAGTATATTGTTTAGTGATATATACTACTAAGTAGTAAAACAAAGAAGAAAGGGAATAGTTAACATAAATGGTTATCTCTGAGAGATCAAGGAGGAACATGTAGAGGCATTCTAAGGTATAGCAATGTTTAGGTCTTATCCTGCATTTAAGTATAGTAATAGCATTCTTTAAACAATATGTATACATTTTCTATCCTTCAGTATATAAAAGTTCCATAATTTTAAAACATTAGAAATGCCACATTCTTAAAATATCAAATTGATAGGATGGTAAAATAGGGAAACCAGTATGCTACACTTGATCTTAGCCTACAGATGGATACAGTTTATTTTATGCATTATACATTCTTTTTTTCTTAAAGGTCTTTCTATAAAAGCAAAAAGCAAACCAAAAACTAAAACAATCTCTCCATCTTTTTACTTTTAGTTACTTAGTAGGTAGGGGTCTCGGAATAGTTTTAGGGATAATTTCCACAAAGCAGAATATACCTGCAGATGCACCTGTCCAGTGTTGGTGGGCCTTGTAGAAGAGCACCATCTACTGGCATAGATCTGCCTTCATTTCAGGTTCAGCCTTAACACTCACTAGATGTGGAATTAAAATAAAAACCAAGTGGTAGAAACAGTCAAAAGCCTGCAAAGGTCAGACACATTGCCTTTTACTTCTTTCCTCCCAAAATAACTTTGTCTATCCTTACTCAGCACTTTACATATGTAGGAAATCTCCGAGTGTTAGAACTATAGGAAATGCTAGCTATGTATTTGGAGCAGCAGTGGTTATACAATAGCCTGCTAAAAGTTCAGAAATAACAGAAGTAAAACCAATGAATCACCAAAGTAGTAATTAGTAAAAGCTTATTGTGCATATGTAAAAAGACAGTTTGCAAACCAGGAGCACTCAAACCAGAACACAGAATGAGACTCAGGTATATTGTTATATGCAGCTTAAAAATGAGAAAGCAGTGACTGTTTATTCTTCACAGTAGTTGGTTGTGACATTAGGATTTTCTTAAGTGATAGGGAATTGGTAAATGGTTACCTCACATCAACCTTGGGAAACAGTTTAAGTTTTCCCTATGATTTTCAGAGGCATAAACAAATGACCCAGGACAGGTTATCCTTGCAAAATAAGCTACATTAGGCTTTGTTTATGGGACTAAACTGTTTGGGGAATTTTCAAGGCTGGTCTCTGTTTTTTATTTTAACAAGTCCATCCCAGGTCAGTAGGACTGGAAGATTTAGGAATGACAGTAATTGTATTCTTTATATGGTTTCTCCTTTTCACATTGGCATCTGGAAGTTATAAGTACCTGTAAAGCTTTCTTTGCCTTAAAACATTCTTTTCACAGATACTGAGCACATATTTGAAAGGAATAGTACTGATAAACTGGGTTGGCTTATGTATTATTAAATTTTCTCTGTTAAAATTCACATCAGTTTTACTTAATGCAGTAGTAACAGTTGAGAATTTTTCATTGTACTCCTTGATAGCTGCTTAAGCTATATAGTTAAATCTTTGAGCAAACTGATGGCAAAGGAAGCCAAAGTTAATTTTGTGTTTGTGTGTGTTTTTAAAGAAGAGAGACAAAGCAGGCATGATTATATGCTGGTGAGACTAATCCAGTAAAAAGCAAAAATACTGTAGAGAAAGGGAAAATTGTCATAATATCTGTTAGCTTGAATACCTTTCTAGTAAGCTTTCTGAATACCGTGTTTGAGAGGGAGAGAGAGAGAGAGAGAAAATGTAAGCAGGCGGAGGGGCAGGGGAAGGGGCGGGGAGAGAGTCTTAAGGAGGCTCCACGCCCAGCACGGAGCCCTGTGCGGGGCTTGATCTCACAACTCTGAGGTCATGACCTGAGCTGAAATCAAGAGTCAGATGCTTAACTGACTGAGCCACCCAGGCACCCCTGGAAACTTATGTTTAATATAGATAATGACATTAAAAAGTCTCTAGATAAATGTATATTTTTTAACACAGGACTACTTTGAAAGAACATTTGAGAATCCACAGTGGAGAAAAACCTCATCTTTGTAGTATTTGTGGGCAAAGTTTCCGTCATGGAAGTTCATACAGGTAAGTCAAGCCATTTTTCCCCTATATTAGGTAAGGTAAATTATTTTAATTCTCTTTTATCATTGCATTAGTTGTTTGTTGAATTAAAATATTTCTTAGCACTTACAGTAAACAAAATTATGCAAAAAAACTTTACAGACTTTTCCCCCACATTACAACTTTTAATAGTCTTTATTCTATAGTACAAAATATTAAATATTTCATCACCAAGTTTGCTAAATGCTTTACTGTCCAAGTCACTGTCATTTAAATGTTTATTTCATTACTTTTCTTTGATTCAAAACTCATTAAAACTGTGATATTCTAACCTTAGTGTATTTCATTACTCTATCAAAAAAATATTTTGGTATGAAATATGGTAAAATTGAAAACTCTAGTAGGACTCTCAATTTTGGAAAGTCTTCTGTGTATTAGTTGTAACCTGTGTAACTGTTTTTATAGCTGAATCCCTGACCACATTTGAAGTTTATGAAAAGTTGGCTTTTTCCTGAATAATTAAAAGTGACTGCCTACTGTTAGACATGTACATTTTACATGTTTATTAATGCTCTTAGGGTTTTCAATCTTAAGGCTTTAATTTTTACACTTTTATTATTTACTTCTTTTACCTCTTTTTAAAAAATTTTAAACATAATGGGTCCTTTTTAGATGCAGCTCAGTTGGTTTACTGGTTTTAGTTACGGAATCGATATCTGTTTTGGCAACTTGAATGGGAAAGCTATTCATTTCACTGGGATATATATAGATGGAGGATTATGGTGCTAAAAATAATTCAAGTTAAATGAATTTTAATAATTTAAACCTTTTATAATCTGTCTTTGGGTGACTATAAAATGAACTAACTTTGGTTAGTGTGAAGAAAAGTAGCAGAATATAATTGTGAGAAAGTTGATTACTTATAAAATTTACCAAATTCTCATCTATCAGTTTATAAGTGGTATCGTCATCCAGAAGAGGGTTAATTCTTAATTATTTGCTGTATTGTGAGTTTAAGTCACTTACCCCATCTAATTCCTTCTGACTCATTCCTATTTGCTATCTCTGAAACTCCACCAGATAGATAACAACCCTAGACATTTAGTATGTTTAGTGAAGTAGATTTAAGTCAGGAAGGAAGGTCATGTAGACGTAGTGTATATGCAAATGTTGAGGTGTTTTTTTGAAAGAGGTGACTAGGAGCCCTGGAGTTAGATAGTGAAAGAGTGGGGAAAGAGGAAAGTCATAGAAATGGAGCAAATAATATATGAGGGTGGGTGAGTCCAGTTTCCCTATTTAGAGTTAATCAGGATTTTACCTTTGGTGTCACCAGTTTTTATGGTCTTCAGTTTTTTTTTTTCTTTATAGACTTCACTTACGAGTACATCACGATGATAAAAGATACGAATGTGATGAATGTGGGAAAACGTTTATTCGTCATGACCATCTTACAAAGCACAAAAAAATACATTCAGGTAAGGTGTACTTTGTAATGATGTTTACAAAAGCCTTTAAAAAAGCACCTGCTAGAGGACATACTACATCATGTTGATGTTGGCTATAATTTTAATAATTTGGCATTGATAATGCTGACTCTGAAAATTTTTTTTTTAAATATCTGAAAGGGACATAATTTTATGACATGTTTTTGTTCACTGTAATTTTAATCATTTGGTTGCCTTTTATGACTACAGACTATATTTTGATGTTTGTTTTAATCAAATTCTCAAAATTTGCATTTTGCATATTATGTGGATGTATACAATAATTGATATTGACATTTCTCTAAATGGAGATGCCAAGATAACATTGCTCATTTTGATTGGATTGGAAAGAAGTTAGCAAAACATATTTGAAGAAATATGATTATAATTGGGTGTTAAAGTTTATGTATTAGTCAATTTTTGAAACTCTGTCTTTGGAAAAGAGTACCTTAATAATCCTGATCAATTTCAGATCTTTATACCATATTTATAATTTTCATATTCCGGGGCTTTCTTTCATATTTTCCTCTCAGATTGATGTTCAGGAAGTGCTTAAGAGAGCCAACTATATGAGCACAATAATGGGAAAGAGCCATCTCTATGAGCACAGTAGAACAGGTGATTATTACTATTATAAAATAATCTAAGTATAAAGTGTGCAACAGATATAATTATTTTCTTAAATGATCCCAGTGAGGTTGCAGGATGCAGTTGTTATCAACACTTTGGATGCTCACGGTCTGATGACTTTTTCACTGAAATTATGCGTTTTCGTTTTTAGGAGGAGAATTCTAAATTCCTAATTCTAGAGATTACATGCTTTAATTGCTTACTGGATTAAGTTGAGACAGTGGTTTTTAAAGGCCAAGCCTTTGTAACTGAATATAAGAACAGAGATGAGAAATGGGACTCATCTAGAATTTTACTTCATATTTGTATTTTGGCTCATTACAAATAAATATATGAAATCCCCATAGATGAAAAATATTTTAAAAGTAGAATACAAAAGAGGGTGCCTGGGTGGCTCAGTCGTTAAGCATCTGCCTTCAGCTCAGGTCATGATCCCAGGGTTCTGGGATTGAGCCCCGCATCAGGCTCCCTGCTCAGCGGGAAGCCTGCTTCTCCCTATCCCACTCTCCCTGCTTGTGTTCCCTCTCTCGCTGTCTCTCTCTCTGTTAAAAAATAAATAAAAAATCTTAAAAAAAACAAAATAGAATACAAAGAGGGGTGCCTGGGTGGCTCAGTCGGTTAAGCATCTGCCTTCAGCTCAGGTCATGATCCCAGGGTCAAGCCCCTTGTTGGGCTCTGCTCAGCAGGAAGTCTGCTTCTCTCTCTTCCCCTGCCCCTCCACCCTGCTTGTGCTCTCTCGCTCACTGTCTCTCTCAAATAAATAAATGAAATCTTTTAAAAAAAAATAAAAATAAAGTACAAAGATCTGAAAATGTTCAGGTCCTTTTTATTAACAGTAAAACAGCCTCTTCTTGATTCAGTGTATTTTCATTTGAAGTGTTTGACATCTAGACTTACTATATTCCTAAAAAATTACTGAGTTTTGAAGTAATTTCATTTATCTTGCTCTGTTACATTGAAAGGTAAGATTTGAAGTCTACAGCAAAAACCCTATTCATTCCTTTTCCAAGTGAGGGAAAAGGGCTCACATCCATGAAAATAAGCATAGATTCACTGAAGAAAGGTTTTTGAGTAAGGAATATAAAGCAAATAGCCCAGAATAAAGGGTGGCTTTACTTTTCTGGTATATTTCCCATCATGTTATCTTACTGTTTGATAATATATTTCTGGGGAAAAACTGAATTGCATATTATAATCAAAATATTTGGGTCTTTAAGGCGAGAAGGCTCATCAGTGTGAAGAATGTGGAAAATGTTTTGGTCGTAGGGATCATCTCACTGTTCATTACAAAAGTGTACACCTGGGAGAGAAAGTGTGGCAAAAGTAAGTGAAAAAGCAGTTTCCCATAATTACTACATTGGATAAGTGTAGGTTAGAGGAGAGTTATAACTTTTCTCATAGTTTATTTTGTTTAATTGGGGATAGGTTAACTAGCTCTCTTTTTTCTGGCTTCTATAGCTTCTCTGCTGACCTAATGGAATTGAATGAAACATTTTTGTTTTACTTGTTTTCAGTTGACTTAAGGCTAGAGTTGGTAGACATTGAAGTTAATGACTAATATAAAATCTTGAAATTCTTTGGGCGTTTCATTTATCTTTGGTTGCTGTGGCTTTTACCTAAAAGTATAAATGTGCTGCCCTATATATTACACTTAATAAGAGCAATTATTGAGACATGTTTCTAGTCAGAATTTAGATTTCTTTTTAACCACACTGAGCATTTAAAATGGTATTTTATTTGAAGGAGGCATGTGCTATCCTAAATAACCAACTTTTTTTTTTAATTCCAATATATTTAACATACAATATTATATTAGTGTCAGATACACAATATAGTGATTCAGCAATTCTATACATTACTCAGTGATCATCATGATAAATGTACTCTTAAATCCTGAACCTGTTTCACCTATTCCCCCTGCCTACCTCTCTCTGGTAACTATCAGTTTATTCTCTAAGAGTCTGTTTTTTGGTCTCTTTTTTTTTCTTTTGAACACCAACTTTTTAATAAAATTTAGTATTCAGGCTTAGCTGAGATGAGTTGTTGAGTGTAAAATGTTCAGAGAATCCATGTTCTTGGACTAGGTGTTTGGAACGAATGCTAAGTAATAGGTGCCAAGAAACTTAGGTTAATATACTGAGCATGATCAACAAAATATACATAGTATCTTTAAATGTAATAAGTGATAGACCACTTTGAAGAAGAGTAGGGAGTGCTGATTTGTATCCATTTTTAATATATTTACATACTGGTTTATATTTTCTTTCACTGATTTTGTTCAGTGATTCACTCATTAATCAATGTATTCATTGTAGTCATTGAATTCTTTTATTCATGAGATAATAGGAATCCTGCTAAGTGCTAGGATAGAAAGATATACATGATGCCGTATAGAAAAGGAAATAAGGGGGCACCTGGGTGGTTCAGTCGGTTAAGCATCCAGCTCTTGATTTTGGCTCAGGTGATCTCGGGGTCGTGGGATCAAGTCCAGCGTCAGGCTCTGTGATCAGCTTAAAGTCTGCTTGTCCCTCTTCCTCAGTTTCTCCTGTCGTTCGTGTGCACTCTCTCTCTCAAATAAATAGATAAAATCTTTTTTTTTAAAGGAAATACGAATTTCAACATAATGTATGAATGGGTGGAAAATAGACTGAACTGCAGACTCACTTGTTTCTGAGGGTCTATAACTTTTTCTCAACCTCTTTATACAACTTTAAAAATTATCCAGTATCTCAGGAGCTCTTGTTATATAAATTACAATATAAAAATTATATTACTGTTTAAATAAATTATATAAATCATATTAGAAATTGAATTGAGAAAAAATTCAGTACTTATTAATTCACTTAAAAATAGTAATATACCCATCACATGCTCACATAAAAAGCAATTTGTGAAGAATAGCTACTTTACAAAACAAATTAAAAATATTAAAAGAGTGGCATGTTTTACATTTTTGTAAATCTCTCTAATGACTTAATAGAAGACAGTTGAATTATCATATCTGCTGCCATGCATTATTTTATTTGAAGTAAATGAACAAAATCTAGCCTCTCTCTATACATAGTTGGTAAAAGAAGGAGTATTATGATAGCAGTCTTAGATAATTGTGGTTATTAGTCTTTGCTACTGCACTAAAACTGTGCTAGTTTCTTAAAGGTAGTTGCAAGGTGCAATCTGAAACAAGATTAATGAAGTTTTCATACCCTGTTACAGTCTATTAGTCTTGTACTTGAATGAATTTTTTTACCTATACATAAATTGTAATATGCATTTGTCATTTGGAAAATATGGGTTCACTAAATTATGCCAGTTTTCTAAATGCGAGCACATTTCACAGTACAGGATCAACAAATCACATTTGTTAATATTGCCTCTAGTCTCTCAGAAAGGGGTATTGGGAAGCTGTCAACATCACAAGGGCAGCAGCAAGTTCTCCACAATTTTTATACTAGCTTGAAAGCTCAAACTTTATCGTTGATGACAAACACTGAAGTAACAGTTTTACTTCCTTTAATTTTCGAGAAAATATCTGCCAAATATTCAAGTTTGTAACTGTGGCTTGTCTTTTATTCTTTTCAAGTGAAATGGTATTTCATGAAGGAAGTGGCTCCTTCAGCCCACCACTCAGACTCAGGTACTTCGGTGTGCGGTAGAAGTGCTGTGTCATTGCCACTTTATCACAGAGAACATTACAAAGGCCACAGTCTGAAAGGTTGAAACTTAGAAAAATTAGTAATTTAACTCCTTTACCACATTTTTCTTTTCTTTCTGTGAGTGCCTGGCAGTGGGGAGCACAGTGATAATTAGTACATTTTGGTACCACTACCTTGTTTAGAGCTGAGGTACTGGTACTTTTACCTGCCATGTCTTTTGTATATGTCATTAGTGTAAATGTCAACACAATGAGAAAGGCAAATAATGTTACGGTATCATTTTGAAAATAACTTTGAGCTTAAAAACCCTATGAAAGAATTTTGGGATTCCCTCACTGCCACAAGAGCCTGTGGGCCTATCTGCTGGCCTAGATAATTATGGAACCAGAAGCTGTAGGTTCCACTTTCTACAAGGGTTGGCTAATGGTGGATCTAGAATATGAAGCCTTGCATATCATTTTATGGAACCAGTACTTATCCCAATGTGATAAACAGCCACTGAAGATTTTAAACAAGAGGGTGACACAGTTGGATTTCTTTTGGGGTAGATCACTCTTATTGGTGTAGGGAGGCTGGATTTGTGGTGGATAAATCGAGGCAAGTAAATCAACCAGTTAGAAAGCTGTTAGAATTTAGGAAAAAGATGGTGAGGGCCTAACTAGGTAGTAGCATTAGTAATAAATAGTAGAAGGTACTTATTTGAAAAATACTTAGTTTTTTGAGATAATGGGAGTAGTCATGGCTAATTCCTGTTTTCAAGGAATTCCACTTTTCAAGTAGTTGGTTGATAAACCAGCCACTGAGATAGAGAAAACAGAAAATGGACTAAGTTTACAGAGGGAGATGATGAATTGTTTGGTGTGTATTGACTTTGAGATGCTTAATGGAAACTCAAACATAAAATGTGATAGGTAAATCTAAGTCTAAATCTCAGGAGTGAAGTCTGACCTGTGGATAAAGATTTATACGTGAATACGTAAAAGCAGATTATCCAGGGAAAGAATGTGGAATGCTTAAGGTTAGTACCCCTCCTTCTACCCATTATTTTCTAATGTTTCTTCTTCCCTTTTAAACATTTTAAAATGGTGACTCTATTTCAGTACCCTTATCTACTTCTCCACTTCCCATTCACTGTAATAAGCTATTGCGATATGACCTCTGACTTTACCTCTTAAATTGCTGTCAGTATAAGTTCCTTATTGCCAACTCCAATAGACATTATTAAGTCCTTTTTACACTGGGCATCTCAGCTTCATTTGGAACTGTTTATCACTCCTATCCTGAAAATCTATACTCTAGCATCCATGTGAGAAGGGAGAGGTACATATATAGGGCCTGATCCATCGAGGTCTTTGTACATTTTATCTTTATTCTATGTTCACTGTGAGACACTTAAAGTGTTGTGAGCATATGTATGTTTAAAACTTCATTCCGTTCATGGTATAGACCATGATTTCTTAGCCATAGCTAAGGGGAGGACATTTTGGGCCAGATAATTCTTTGTTGGGGAGCTGTCCTGTGCACTGTAGGATGTTTATTTATTGGTATTCCTGGCTTCTATCCAGTAAATGGCAGTAGCACGTACCTACCCCCAGTTGTGAAAACCAGAAATGTCTTCAGGCATTGCTAAATACCCCATGCAGGGCAAAATTGCCCCTAGTTGAGTACCGCTGTGTCTCTATGTGTGTGCCCATGGTGACCTTGTTTGTATCTCTCTTTATATTTACTATGGATATGAACAGAATGAGACAAATCAAGTATACTGGTTACAAGTCTTTTGCTAAGTTTATCAGTGACACTCCCAAGTCACTAAATCTAGATTATCTTTTTAAATGTCTGTTTCATCAAGTATAGAAGTAAGTTTCTGGAAGACAGGGCCTTGCATAGGGTTTTTATAGCCACTTTGTAAATGTTGAGTTGAATGACTTGAAAAGTATGAGTGGCATTTGAAACCTTAGGTGTACTATTGCTATTGAATATTGGTAATGATATACTAAACATTCCAGTAAGACTCGGTAGATCTGTTAAAAGCAAACTGTCTTACAGAACATTATAGTAGTCTATATTTGAGTTAATTATTTGGCATGTACTCATCAGATATGAATTATTTCCAAGGTGAGATGATAGGCTTTCCTAATAACCACCACTTAAATGCTAATCATTTTACAAATATCTTAATCCTCACAATGAAATTGGAGTCTAGGATTGTTTAAATCACAAACACGTATTCTTAGGTACTGCTCTCTACTGCCTGATAAGGTAGCTTTGAGTACTTTATAGCTTTTTATGTCTATTAATCTGTAATAAAAATAAAGGACTGGTATCTCGTTCTTTTAAAATTTAGGTATAAAATTTAAGTTCAAGTTTGTAATATTTATTACTTGTGTTATTAAGTGAACCAGTTAGAGCAGTGTCACCTTTTTGATGAAGGCACATTTTGAGGTTGCTGTAGTTTCTCTTCATTCAGCCCCAGCATCTGTTTTTAAATTTAATTGTTATACTCTACATGCAGAGAAATTCATTGTTTGTAGCGTATAGTTCTGCAACTTTTGACAGATACATGTAGTCATGTAATCATTACCACAGTCAAGATACAGAATAGTTCCATCACCCCTAAATTTCCACCAGACTGCTTTGTTCAACTCCTTTTTTCTTCCTTCAACCCATCATTGATCTGTTTCTGTCCCTATAATTTTTCCTTTGATATTTTTAATAGCAAATAATAATAATACAGAAGTCCAGTGATTTAAATCTTAAAATTAAGTGGTTTAAAGTTAAAAGTCTAAGGACCTCTTTTTACAAATTTGTATGTTGAATGTAACTGGAGGAGGAAGAGCCAGAGGTAAGGTTGGTACTTTAAAAGTATTTCCACATTCCTTTGGATTTCTGTGCTTTATTAATATGAGAATTATATGTAAAGCTTGTAAATGTAACCTATTTTCATTATGTTATTAAAGCTATATTGAAAACTCAACCCTTTTATGTTTCTTAGATACAAAGCAACCTTTCATCAATGTGACGTTTGTAAGAAAATTTTTAAAGGCAAATCAAGTCTGGAAATGCATTTTCGGACGCATTCAGGTAAAAGCTAATGGGTACTTTATTTATATATTTGTGTAATTATTCAGGAGTAAAATATGGACATTTAAACTTTGTTGTTCTTGGTTAAATTTTTTTCTTTTCCCCATACAGTTTTTACTTATTTTATTAAAATTGATGTCATAAATGAGCAATATTCTGCCTTTCGATTATTTATAAGCTTCAATATTTTTTAATATTATTTTGTAAAATTGTGGCAAATTTTTCTTCATAGGGAATTTACTCAATGGTTAGCTGTAATTTTCCCCTTTTTTGGATGTTTATATTTGCTCTATATCTGTGTAACTCTGAAGACATTCCTTTTTTTTCCTCTTTCAAAAGAATAAATCAGATAGGATTTGATTATCTTGCTTAACCAAGTTACTCTTGTATACTTTCCTTTACACATAGTCATTTGTGATTTGTAGGTAGTTACAGTAGAATGATTTGCTTCAGCTCCTTTCCAGAAGATAATTATTTTCTAAACCTTTATTTTTTCCCCCTTGGTAATGCTACCATATTTGAAATATAGACTGTGTTGGATTCTTTCTTATATGTTGTCATAGTCCTTGTTTGACTTCCCATAGAAATTAACAATTCTTAAACCTTTCCTTTCTTTCTTTTTAAAAAAGAAACTTATTTATGCATTTATGGCTGTTTTGTTTTATATTTATTTGGATTTTGTCAAGCTGCTGTTCTAGAAGAGAAAAATAGTTGATTTCATAAATATTAGAATGGAAAATAACTGGATTTGGGAAATGTCAGTACCAAAGAATTTATTACTTATAAGGTGCTGCTGTTAAAAATAAAATACAACCCCCTCCAAAGGAAAAAGTCATAATTTGGGGGTACATACATAGGGATATAAAATGAGGAAACCATATTAATGCTATCTTCCATATTATTTATAAATAATAAGCTTAATAAACTCTTGGTTTGAAAGAAATGATGAACTTACAGAAAGTTAATTCAAGACCATTGATGATTTAAGAATTGTAAAACTGCAGGAATTATTTTAGAGGAGAAACTTAAGGGCTGGCTTTATAATTGCATTCAGTTTTTAAAACCATTGATTTATAGTAATTAGTCAATGACCAATGACAATGTGGAATTTCCATCTCTGAATATCTCAGTTAGTTGGAATTAGGGACAAGTCACTCTGCCCATTGAAAATTGCAGAAATGAGCTCTATTACAGAATAAGACAAAGATTATGGCAGTTATGAAATGAGAGGGAGAAATCACCTAAAGCAGAGGTCAGTAAACTTCTTTGGTAAAGAGCTAGATAATAAATGTTTAAGGTTTTGTGGGCCAGTCTCTATCACTCAGCTCTGCTTCTGTAGCATGAAAGCAACTGTAGACAACGTGTAATCAAATAAACATGGCCACATTCCAATAAAACTTTATTTACAGAAACAGGCAAGAGGCTGTATTCGGCTTTCGGGCTATAGTTTGCCAACTTCTAAAGTAATCAGCAGGCTACCAGACAGGACTTCAGTGTGGCCCTTCGACAAACTGGTTTCCATATTTCCCGGTCCATTCCTGAAATTTATAGGTCCAGAAACTCACTTTTATATCTATACACTGAGAGTTATAAATACTCTTAGGAGTTCTTTGTAATAACCACTGGAAATAGATTCATGAGAATGTCCGCTTAATTATTCACCTTCTAGAGAATGAATAGTGTACTAGCCAAGGTATCCTTTTCTCTAATCAAGGAAGCAAAGTTGCTAAATTTATTAGGCAGAAAAATATAGAGTAAAATTAGGTAGTAATTTTATGGAATAGTTTATCAAGGAAATGGTGAGGGATACTGAATCATCCTTACCCTTGTAATAGTGTATGTCTTCTTGTGACCAGAATAATTTTGCTCCCCAGATTCTTTTTCCCTAGCCAGGATACCCTTAGTGCATTGTCTATACTGCTTTTTTTAAGAAAGAGATCCATGTTTTTTTGGAATCCCCTTAGCTAGATTCCATATAGACCTTTCCTTTTCTGGTAATATATTCTTTCTCTAGGCGAGCTATAACTAATGGATTGGTTTCAGTTTTGGCCAGGTCAGTATACTTAATTGGTTCAAATGAGTAGATATGATCAGTGCTTAGCCCAGGACTTGCAAATAGTAGGTGCTTAATAAGTATTTGTTGAATGAATGAATTTATCATGTTTACCTTTGACTAACCTCTCATCTATCTGATGTTTTCAAACCACACAATTAGGGAAATTGGTTGAAGTACAGATCAAGATTTTTTTTTTGTAAATGGCTTACTCTCATCCATTATGTGTTTTGCTTGTTGTAATTCTCAAGAGTAGTGATTACATCTGTTCTTAGCAGTAGTCTTGTTGAAATGTAGTGTATTTATTTAAAATAGGCATTAAAGCTGATACATTTAGGGCCTGATTTTAGACTTGGTAGAATTTTTTAAGCTGTATGTAAAGTACCCAAATCTTAATGAACAGCTCAATAAAGTTTTATAAATGAATACATCTATGTAAACACCACTCAGATTAATATAAAGTATTAATATGTTACCAGTACCAGAATTGCAGAAGTATCTTCTCTGGACCCTCCCAGTGGATAACCTCCTTGCAAAATAATCATTATTTTGACTTCTATCACCATTCATTAGTTTTGCCTGTTTGAACTTGATATAAATGGAATCATACAGTATGTACTCTTTTTTTTTTTGTCTGGTTTCCTTCACTCAGTACGATGTCTATGAGATTCATCCATAGAAATGGATTTGTTTCTTTTAATTTTCATAGGACTATACCACAATTTATCCATTGTACTTAGATGGACACTTGGTTTGTATTTACTTGGATCTATTATGAATAAAAGCTCTAAAAATTCTTGTTCATGATTTTTCATTATACATACACATTTATTTCTCTTGTGTATATGCCTTGCCACGGGATTGTTGGCTGATAAGATATGCATATGTTCTACTTTAGTAGACACTACTGAATAGTTTTCCAAGGTAATTGTGCCAGTTTGCATTCCTGCCAGTAAGTATATGGTTTATGAGAACTCCAGTTGCTCCATGTTTTCACCCACACTTGACACTGTCTTTTTTTTAAGCCATTCTGATGTCTATGTAGCACTGTCTCAAAGTGGCTTTAATTTGCATCTCTGAAAGTAGTGATACTGAGCACATTCCCATATACTCATTTGAATATCCTCTTTCTTGGAATACCTGATTCATTCTTCTGCTGATTTTCTTAAACTGGATTGTCTTTTTCTAAATGATTTGTAGGAGTTCTGTCTGTATTCTAGATATGTGTCCATTGTTGGATATCTAAATTGCAGATTCATTCTACACTGTGGCTTTCCTCTCACTCTAGTAATGGTATCTTTCAGTGACTGAAGTTTTTGAATTTTATAGAAGTCACGTATCAGGGTTTTTTTTCTAGTTAGTTTCTTACTGTATCCTCTTTAAGAAATTGTTGCCTGTTCCAAGGTTGTTAAATATTTTTTTCTGTTACCTTCTAGAAGATCTATTTTAACTTAAATATTTAGGTTATGAAACTTTTGTAATTTACTTTTGTGTTCATTATTAGGTAAAGGTCAAAGTTCCTTTTTTACTTTTTTCTTTTTACATGTAGCTATCTAGTTACCCCAGCACCATTTATTGGAAAGACCATCCTTTCCTTACAGCATTTCATTGGCGTATTTGTTTTAAATTAAGTGATCATATATGTGTGGTTTGTTTGGGGGCTTTGCTCAGTTCTTTTGTATTATTTGTATACCCTTGCACCGTTGCTATACATAAATTACTATGGCTTTTGATATCTGGTACTGTAAATTATCCAACTTTGTTCTATTTTGGTGTCTTTATTATTCTTGTTCCTTTATGTTTTTATACAAATTTTGAAACATCTTATTAATTTCCAAACACAAACACCTGCTCGGAATTTTATTAGAATGTCATTGAATATATAGTCAATTTTTCCTTAATTGATTACTTTATAGTATTGAATCATCCAATCCATGAACAATCCCTACATTAACTTAAGTTCTTTTAAATGTTTTTCAAAGATGTTATAGTTTTTGGGGGTACCTGGCTCATTTGGTGGAGCATGTGACTCTTGATCTCAGGGTCATGAATTCAAGTTTGCCGTTGGGCATGGAGCCTACTTAAAAAAAAAAAAAAAGATGTTACAGCTTTTTAGTGCAGATATCTCACACATTTTCATTAGATTTATACCTAGATGTTTGATGTTTTTGTACAAAATTATAAGTTGTATTTTTATTTGTATTTGTTTCTGATGTATAGAAATGCAGTTGAGTTTGTATATTCACTTTTTATCCAATGACTTTGCTAAGTTCTCTTATTAATTTTTGTAGTTTAGCTCTTTTTGGATTTTCCAAGCATACAAACTGGCCATCTGTGAATAGTGACAATTTAATTTTTCCCTTTTCAAATCCTTTTCTCTCCCTCTTGGCCTTATTGCTTTGGTTGACATCACCAGTGGTATATGAGTAGAAATACTGAGTAGTGGACATCCTTGTCTTATTTGCAATCTTCAGGGAGAAGCTTTCAATATTTCATAATTAAGTATGATGTTTTCTGGGACTCCTGGGTGGCTCAGTCGGTTAAGCATCTGCCTTCTGCTCAAGTCATAATCCTGGGGCCCTGGGATTGAGCCCTGCATCGGGTTCCCTGCTCAGCGGGGATTCTGCTTGTCCCTCTTCCTCTGCCTCTCTTCCCCTGCTCATGCTCTCTCTCTCTCCTCTCTCAAATAGATAAATAAAATCTTTAAAAAAAAGTATGACGTTTTCTATATATTTTGTAGGTACTGTTTATCGGATAAATTACCATCCATTCCTAAATTATTTAGAGTGTCATGAATAGGTATTAAATTTTATCAGCTTTTTTCCTGCATTTATTGAGGTGATCATATCTTTTTCCCTTATTAATGAGATAAATTACATTGATCGATTTTTCTAATATTAGATCTTGAGTTCCTGAAATAAACACATATTGGGGTTATTTATTTTCC